AGGAATTGTTGCTGAAATTGTTTTGACAAATAGAGGTGATATCTATACAAAATCTAATTTTATTTTGAACCTATAGAAAATTACAATTTTATTGTGGAAATTAATCCTGACTTTTAAACCACGACAAAAACATAATGCAATCAAAGCCAAACATTTTTGGAATGGACAGCTGAAACTTTACATTTTTCTTTCTAATATTTGGACCAGTTAATGAGCTATGACATACAGTAGATGACAAGGGCTTGTTTATAAGGGCAAATGTATTATAGCTTCAGACAGGGCTGCTGTTAGAAACCACGGGGCCCCATACAGCCAACCCGACAGGGCCCCCCCCAAAAAAAAAACACAGTTTACTATGCTTTGTTTATGAATGAACACAGCAGGGGCAGACTGACCATTTGGAAACTCGGGCACTGCCCGAGGGCCCGGGGTCAGTAGGGAGCCCCATGAGATGCCCCTGGTACTTTTTTCATAGGCTTTTTTGAGTTTGGGCAAGGACACAGGGGCCCCATGATCCCCTATTGCCCGGGGGCCCCATGAGTTGTCAGTCCGCCCCTGGAACACAGTGAGTGACCAGTACTTTGTTTATGAATGAACACAGTGAGTGACTGGTACCGAGCAATCATTGTGCTCATCCAGGAAAGAAAGGGGCTGGTAAAATGTGACATATTTACCTGACCATTCCACCACTCTCCATCCTTAAGTATCCTATTGTGTGTGTAGAGGAGGCTAGCTGGCAGCACTTTGGGGGGTGGAGGCACACAGGGGGCTTGAGCAGCAGGGGGGAAACATATGGTGCACAGGGAGGGCAATAAGGTGTGACAGGGGGCAATTACTGGAACCAGTCCCCTGTATGGCTCTCTCTGCAGCAGCTGAAAGCCAGTGGGAGGGACAGGAGAATAAGCCAGCTTACAGCTGCTGCAGAGAGCACTATACAGGGGATCGGTTCCAGTAATTGCACCCCCACCGTGCTGATCACCCTCCCTGCCCACATCCGATTCACCCAGCTGCCTGGGCTTCCCTGTTGGCCTGGGCCCCATACAGGAGGACTGGTGGTACCCCCTTATCCATTGCCCTGGCTTTAGGTACATTTAAAAAAAAAATTGCGAAAACATTTGCCTAAAATAATGGTGCAAAAGTCCGCACACTGTGTAAAAAAACAGGAATGTTCCACCAAAGAATCTTGAGAAAAGTGTCATAATGGACCAGGAACCTCCACAAGATGGTCAAACATGCAGGTTTATCAAATACATATGACCCTCTAATATGAAGAAGGCATGAACAGCATATGGTACAAGAATAAATAAATCTTCCTTTCCAGCCACCAGCCAGGTCAGAAGAAAATATAAGAGCAGGCACTCCACTTGGTGTAAAATCCCACAAAAGCTTTACTCTAAATAGATATTGCACTTACAAGAATCACAGGATGATTATGCATTAAAAAAAACAATTCTTGCTGGCAGATAAACAAACCCACAGGTCACTTCCAGTTGCGTGATGACGTCAACACGCAGCTCTGCCCTATGCATTTTGTCATACATGATGTCTTCTGTCACCTTCATGGGTGTATTTGACCTTGCGTTTACCTCTTCTTGACCTCCTCCTAAGCTGCATCAAGCTGCTTTTGCTTTTCTATTGACTTGTATGTGGAGAAAAGCAGTCATACCTTCACATACACAGGCCGCTAGAGCGATGCAATTATGACTTCATGACTCAAAGCTAAACTAAATTTGGCACAAATGTAAATAACTTAAATGGAGCATATTATAAAACAATACATAAGTAGTAAAACTGGATTTTAAAACATCTGTAGATCCAGAGCTAGAGAGGCAGTGGACGTCATAAGCACGTCATAACTTTTTTTGTAAAAGTAGATATCATCATCAGCTTCTTTACCTCTTGCGCCTTTTTAATGTGGTGAAAAAAACAACTGACCTAAATGCCTGGGTTGGCTTTTATGGGAACAGTTGGCATTTGTATATAAATGTAATTTGCCGACTTACTTGGATCTTTTGATTGTTTGAAAATGCAGTTTTGCAATTTTCATAGATTTTATACAGTCCTAATAAATTGCCCAAGTTTGGGAAAGGTTTACTCCAGGGGTCTCCAAACTTTCTAAGCAAAGGGCCAGTTTACTGTCCTTCAGACTTTAGGGGGGCCGGACTGTAGCCAGTAGGAGTAGAAAAGCCCTGGCATTAGTGCCCCATCATCAATTTTAATAGGAGGAATAGTGCCCTATTGTTATCAGTGAGCAGAATAGTGCTCTATTGTTGATATCAATGAGTAGTATAATGCCCCATTGATGGTGCCAGTAGAGAGAATGGTGCTCAATCACTCGTGACAGTTGGTGGAATAGTGCCCCAAGGGCCAAGCTAAGGGCCACATCTGGCCCCCGGGCCGGAGTTTGGAGACCACTGGTTTACTCTATAGCAGGGGTGTCTAACTCTATTTCATTGTGGGCCGCATTAGCATTATGTTTGCCCTTAAAGGGCCAGTTGTATCTGTAAGACTAGATGTTCAGAGCACCCCACTTTCCCCTTACATCAGATGTCAAGAGACCCCCAACAATAGAACTTAAGAGTCTCCCACCCTCCCTTACATCACAGAACACCCCCCCACCTTACCTTTGTGCTGCTGCAGGAAGTGCAGGGTGTGCAGGAGGACCAGAGGATGGCTGGAGTCAGCTGCCGGAGTCTCCTGAATGCTGAGATCAGGGGAGGTGGAGAAGAGGGGGTGCTGCGGGTGCACAGAGAGACATGGGGTCTGTAGGAGGAGCTCCTTCCTGAGACAGGAAAGGGGGGGCAGGGACATGCCTCTCTGCTGCTGCACAGAAAAGTGTAGAATCTGGCAGAGGAGTTCTGTTTTCGAGAGGAACAGAACAGAGAGTGCTGCCAACTTGGGAGACAAGGTGGAGACAGAGATGAGGGGGGTGCCGCAGCTGCAGGAGAGGTGTGAGAACCCCCTTGAATAATCTGGCAGGCTAGATTTGCTCCATGGGCCTTGTGTTTGTCACATGTGCTCTATAGCCTGTAACACACATACACGGGTTGGATAAAAATATGGAAACAATACATATTTTGCATGTGTGAAAGTGACGAAATGTTTCGTGTTGAAAGCGGAAGTGACGTAACATTCTTTTGCTTCTGCTGTGTGATGAGACACCTAGTTAACAAAGTGGGAAGCAACACTTTTGTCATTCACGGTGTGCGCTGCTAGCAATACAGAGTCATGTCAGAGCTTACTGAGCTTCAAAGAGGGCAGATGGTTGGTGCTGCTTAGCTAGTGCCTCTGTCACTGAAGTTGACAATTTATTTGTTGCAAGGTACAGTATCAAAAATTATGACGGCATATACAGTTTCTGGGAAAACGTCGTCTGATGAGCAAAAGTGGTCAACTGATCGAAAGAGACAAAAGAGTATTGCGCAGGATTGTGACCAGAATTTTTGCATGAAGTGGTATCAGATTCCTTTATCCACCACCCAAGACTTATATTTGTCAATTCCCAGGAGAATTTAGGCTGTTTTGGATGCCAAAGGCGGTCCAACACCATATTAGGTAACGGTTTTGTTCTTTTACCATATTTGTTTCTATAATTTTGTCCAAGCTTTTGAAAGCAAGTTTTAGGAGCGTCATCTTTTTCCAACAAATTTAACCACCTTCAAGCAGCTCTTAAAACCCCAATTGAACTTTGAAGAGTAACTCCACTAATGTTGAGAAAACAAAATCCCCCCTGGATGATCTATGTACATTGCAAGGATATCGCGGGAGCGCAGAACAAGGTAAGTGATCGAGGGATCGTGGAGCAGCACCGCATGGTAAGCCCGAGTGTAGCTCGGGGTTACCGCTTGTGGTACTGAAACTTTACCCCGAGCTACACTCGGGAATACCGCCAGGGGGGTTAAGTTCGAATTGACACAAGTAACCACAGATTTTACACATTCCAATTCTGTTTATGATGTGTAATCAAGCCATATTGAAGTTTGCTATAAACCTCTTACTACTGTACTTCAACCCAGGTGTGAATGTACTCTCTGGTGGTGATTTATTTCAGTTCCTAGTGTACTGTGGTGTCAGCAGGTGTTGGGCTTTCAGAGTTGGGTCCAGAGACACAGGGAAACCGAAAACAATTCAGCAACTCCTAAGGGGCTAGTGATACAGTCGTTATCTAAGGCATGCTGGCGGAGAACAGAATTTTCTACTTTGGATGTGACTGTTTTCTAAAGAAAATGAGCTGTAAGTCTTTGCACTCCTTTTGTTTTGAAGCACATGGAATATATTTTGCTGATTTAAACAGTGCTTTTGGCTTTAAGAATCTTTTAGCCTCAGTCTATGAGTGTTGAAAACATATAATACATATCTTAATTAAAGTGCTAGCTGTGGCTTTTGGAAAACTTTTGGAAGTCTTTGGAAGAGGCTAGCAAGGTTTCTATGGATGACTGTGCACTTTTTTTTAGGTGTGTGTACCATCCATTGGTTGGACAGATATAAATACCATGTGTCCCACATATACAGCAATTGTGGAGTCAAGGGCAACAACTTGGGAGTATCATGCAGCAAAAACTAAACTTGCTTGCAAGCAGGCCCGGACTGGCCACAGGGCCCACTAGGCATTTGCCCGGTGGGCCAGGGTGGCCTGGATAGGAGGGGTGGCGGGGGCAGAATATAGAGGATTGGAACCATCCATTTTCCTCCTTCCACAACTGAATTCCCACTTCTCCTCCTCTCCCTCCTGCAAGCATTCAGCTGCTGCAGAAGAGAAATGGACAAACTGTTTTCTCTATATGCCGCCCCACCACCCCTCCTATCCATTTTCTTTCTGCTGCCCTTAGCCCTTGTTCTTTCTTCTGGTCTCTCTGTGCTCCCTCCAGGCCCTTCCTCCTCCCCTGCGGTGCTGCCGGGCTCCCCCCTTTCCTCTCCTGCCATCTACTGTGAGGAATCTGTCAGGATGGATATTGGGGAAGGGATCTTTTAAATATGAACTTTACCTGCCCCTTCCCTAGTTGAATGTAGAGTCAGTGATTGGTACCAGTCACTGACTTTGTCCATTCATAACTGAGGCATAGTAAACTGTGTTTACTATACTTCAGTTAATTTTTATGAATGAACAGGAAGCTCTTTGCAGAGCTATTCCTGTCCAGGGGCGGACTGACCATTTGGAAACTCGGGTACTGCCCGAGGGCCCGGGGTCAGTAGGGGGCCCCATGAGATGCCCCTGGTACCTTTTTCATAGGCTTTTTTGAGTTTGGGCAAGGACACAGGGGCCCCATGATCCCCTATTGCCGGGGGGCCCCATGAGTTGTCAGTCCGCCCCTGTTCCTGTCCGTTCACTCTGTGCTGCTGAGGCTGCATAGAGGAGGATTAAGGGCTGTGTCCTCAATCTCCTTTCTTCGTCTCAAAGATGAGATGTCAGGGGTCTGTTCAGACCCCTGATATCTCACCAAAGCTCCCAAACAGGGCTCCTAAAATAAAATTAATAATTAAAATAATACTAAAATAAAATAAAAAATACTAGTGACACCAGTGGCGGATCTACCAGGGTTGCAAAGGTTGCACTTGCTACCGGGCCCTGGCGTTCTGCCACCGGGCTCCAAGGGAAGGGCCCCCAGGCTTGCGGCTGCTAAGTCTAAAATGCTTGGCCTATTTTTTTTCCCAGTATGGGGCTGCTTGCAGGGGTCCCAAAACATTCCTTAGAGAAGTGGTTCTTCAGCTTGGGGGAGCAGTTACATTGGCCAGGGATTTAAAATTGCGGTCCACAAATGTTGTTTCTTTATTGGGAGTGCAGAATTAGGATTTTGTTTTGCAGCATGCTATGCTGAGGGAGGAACAACAATCGTCAGCAGGGGTGCTTTTACTGTGGGGGCAACAGAATTATTATTTATTCACGTTAAAAACAGAAGTGCTGTTTTGTGCAAATAGTGCTCTTATGTAAATCATCTTGGTTAGTTTAGGGGTTTTTTCTCAGCTTCAAAAGCAAATGCATTCATATGCTTTCATTTTCCCTTAGAGATGAAAGATCTGCCTGGAGTTTTTAGGCAAGGTCACAAGAGAGAAGAGGTGAACAGACCAAAAAAGGTTTAGAAACCTCATCATTGTCAGAACTGTTTTAGCGTACACGAGCTACCTGCTGGAGAGAATTGGAACAGGCATTACAGTTTCGTGATATATGTTATTTAACTATTGTTGCAATTCTGTCAAGCAACGCTATGTGAAAGAGGAGTGTCAAAATCCCCGAAACACAATAGACTTTTTTCCATCAGTCATTTATTAAAATATTGCTTAGGACTCTATAACCATTGATGTGGTACTTCTTTGATTCTTGCATGGTTAGAATTTGGTGCTGAGAGTGAGGATTTAATACGTCTGGTGCTATCTCTTGCTTTAGCTCCTAAGTTATGGTAATTGGTGGCCTCTGGTTAGTAGGTTTCCATGCTTGCTCCAGTATTACAGTTTTTTAATTATCTCCCCTACTACAGTTGACCTGCTTCACCTATTCAGTGGTACTTCTAAAGTTCCTTTTATGTTACCAGAATGCTTCAGTTATTTATTAAAATATTGGAATTTACTGGAATTTTCATCAATACATGGTGGTGCTTGTGTAAAGAACAATAGGGAGCATGATGTATTGGTGTATTGTTAAACTATGACAGATTTTGAGATGACTAAATGTCAGATTTATAACCACGAGGATAACTAATTCATATCAATTTTGCCTTAATTTACCAGAGTTCTCCAGATGTTTGAGGTCCATCTACCTCAGTGATCATTGGTGTTTTGATGATTGCTCTAATAAGGTGTAGCACCCTCCTACTTAGTGTAGGTTGTTAGGTAAATTAGTCTAGCTCCTCTGTAGTTAGTGGAGTAGGAGTTGAATGCTCTAGCCTGTTCAGATAGCTGAATACTCCCCCTTGTATTCTAGAATTATAGTGGGTGGAAGAATAGGGGAAACAGCTTGAATATTTATGGGGATCTGGATAATCCCTGGGGAGGTGTGCCCAGCAGGTTGCTGGAGAGGTCTAGAGCAGGGGCTGTTGGATCCTGTGTCCAGTCCTGCCAGAGGAGTCCCCTGTGCTAGGTCTCTGCCCCTGAGGCAGGATTGTTGGAAGTGCCATTTAGGAGTCATTGAGGTCCCAGCTGGAGGTCTATTCAGAACGTCTGGTCATGAAGTTGCTTGGGTCTGGAGAGCTAACTGGAGAGTACCAGGAGGAAGTTGAGAGAAGAGTGTCCAGCTGTCTTATTGTATTGTAAGTCTGCACCTTCCTCACTGAAAAGTGCCTGGTGGATATCAGAAGGAGGCAGCCCATGATCTGGCCACATTGTGAGTAAAAAAATCAAAGTGAAGGGCCTTAGTGTAGCTCTCAGTGCTTTGGAAGAAGTCATGGTCACCCATTAGAAGTAGAGAGTTGTGTAGGACTTTTTTTTATGAAGCGCAGTATGAGAGGAAATAGTCATCAAAGAATTCAATTCAGCAGCTCATTCAGTGGTGCCTTCATGGACTTGATTGTCTTGATTTTCATAGAATGAACATTCTAATTTCTTTGACAAGTGCATACACATAATACTAGCAATGATGATTTTTCTCAGCAGCGAGTGATTCAACATTTTTAAATTGGTTTGAGGCCACCATCCCCCCCTCCTAGATTGTAAGCTTGAAAGAGCAGGGCCCTCGATCCCCTCATGTTTTGCATTGTATTGCTATTGTTCTGTCACATGTTTTGTCCCCCTTTGTAATGTACAGCGCTGAGCGAACCATTGGCGCTATATAAATACTGTATAATAATAATAATAATAATTAAATTCAACAAAAATGTTTATCCTTTTTCATGTTGTGGAAACCAGCATTAGCTCCATCCTTTTTAGACATGAACCATCTTTTATCTTTTAACTTAATTGCTCATCAAGGGAGGCCTCCTACAGCCACCTGTAGGAGACCACTCCATTGATATTCCTGGGAATCCATCCTGAAAAACTTACTGTCCTCTCTTGATAGAGATACTTCTGTACAGCTGCTTCACTCCTCCTTGCTTCTGGCCCCCAATGGGTATTCACACCCACACACAGATTCTCTAATTGCACTGCTAGATGCAGAAGACAAAGACACTTAGGGTAGATTTATAAAACTGGGGAGTGCAAAGTCTGGTGCAGCACTGCAAAGACACCAGTCAGCCCCCAGGTTTTTTTTGTCAAAGCAATTGAACATGTTATAGTTAGAAGCTGATTGGCTGCCATGCACAGATTTTTTGCACTCTCCAATTTTAGTAAATCAACCCTTTATCGTCATGCTGAAAAGCTTTACCCAAATCTTCTCAAAGTAGAAAGTAACATTTAAAAGCAATGTTACTCAACTTTGGTTGACTTATCTGTTAGTCTATTTAGCAGTCCCTGTCCACAAGAGTTTATTTAAGCATCCCCAAAGAAAAGCGAAATCCTGGTGGAGCAAGGTCCCTATCCCTAACACATGACATCAACCCCACTCAAGACAAAGGAACTCTGTAGATTGATCACCTGGCCTGGCCTGGGTCTTTTAAGCATGGTGAACAAATTACTTTATTGATGGCCTCCAAAAAATTACATTTTCATGCATCAACCAGTGTAATTTACATATTTAATAATAGTTTAATACAAATATTTAATAATAACCTTCATTGTTATTTATGGAAACTCCATATTTTACAGATCCCTAATAGGACAGTCTAGTGGCGTTTGATTCTGTTTTCCTACAGCTGGGGGTAGAAAGACAGAGAGTAGATACATAATTAACAACAGGCTAGAGCAGAAGCCAGTGGAAAAGGTTCAGAATCCGAGGAAAACAGGTCCAGGAGTAAAGAAATACACTGTCCGGTTGGTTGAAGATGGATAGACCACATCGAGGTGCTGGGACAAAAAGCTTCTGCTCAATCCCAAAGCCACAAGTGGTGTAGTTGGAATTTTGTAGTTGGGTCACTACCAACATATAGGTATAAGGGTTGCCTAGTTGGAAGACTGTAAGACGTGAACAGCACTGACCAGACTGAATTTGAAGCAAGACTGGGAACAAAACAAGGGGTGTAATGTATGAAGACCTGTCACGTACCTGGTGGGGGAGCCTGAAGTGGAGATGAAGGTGTACTCTTACACCTCCTGCTCGGTGCCCCTGATAGAGCAAACAGAAGGCACAAGAGCCAGGACAGGTGGGTAGTCCAGACGACCAGGTTGCAGGTCAGCGGAGTATGCAGGTGGGTTGTTGATGCTGGTTAGCTGAGGACGCAAGTAGGCTGCGGGTGCAGGTGAGCTGAGGATGCAGGTAGGTTGTGGATGCAGGTGAACAGAGGAGGCAGATCAGCAGCTGGTAGATTCTAGCAGCAGAGCGACAGGAACTCGGCAACTGCAGATGGTTAGTAGCAAGTGATAGTCACAGGCCGGAGAAGTAGCAGAGTCAGACAAGCTGGGTCAGGATCTATCTGGAGGATCAAGTACAGGATCAAGATACAACAGATAGCAGATAATGAAACGTGGTAGACCAGAATGCAAGGACTCCTAGTACAGTTGTGGTTTAAATAGCCCGCCTGGCACCATGTACGCGCACGCATGCGCATGGAATACGAGCACAGCTATTGGGCAATTGGTATTGGCGCATAAATGTACGCCTGGGCATTCTTTATCTTCCCTGACAAGACCAGGATCCTAAAGCCATGGCAAAGGATGAACAGAGAAGGGTATAATTATTGAGCAAGCTGCTGGGTGATCAGAGTAGAGGCAAATTCATAATAGTAAGAACAATAATTAGTAATATTAATTCTACTACTGCTACTTCTATTGCTACTACCACAACTGTTGCTACTATCACTACTACTACTAGCATAATCAATGTTGCCACGCAAAGAAATAGGCATACAAGCAATGTTCTTAGCTAGGTCATATGAAGTGGAGAATTGACTCCTCGAGAAAGACCCAGATAGGTCTAAATGTGTAGTTGCTTGATTGGGGGGGAAGTGCACATATAATCGTTTACTGGCAGAAGCAATTCTAGTCCTCAGATGTCTACTACATTAAACTCAGCTACGTACAGTGCCTTTTTAACTGTTTGCTTTGCGTGGCAACATTGCGTGGCACATGTTCGAAATATGGAGATATCTGCTGTGCTTCATTCTGATCATTTACTGTAAATGGATTGAGTTTATATCAGTCTAATTGTGCTCTACTCCTTAGTTATCCAAGTCAATGCATTTATATTGTTGTGTGTGTTTGAGTTGCTATTAAAGATGGATTTCTGTCAGAGTTTTATTTCTGTCAGATAATGCACCACTTTG